CCTAGAGTTGCTCTTCCTTTTATAGGGATAGGGAAACCGAGGCCAGAGAGCTCCAGAGACTTGCCCAGGGTCATACAGCTAGTGAATGAGTAAAAAAGCTGGGTTGGGTTCAGGGTCTACCCGAACTAACACTGCCTTCTCTCCATAACCCTGATGTGGGCCGCTAGACAAATCCTCATTTCGCCATCTATTGGCTGAATGACCTTGACCAAGTTGCTTAACCTCCTGAAGGCTCAGCCTCCTGATCTGTAAAATGGGGGTATTAACAAAATCTGTGTTCGATGATGAACTGAGATTAATGCATGTGAAGTGCCTGTTGTATTGTATTACCGTGCAGAGTAAAGGGTAGATAACGCCAACATTTGAAACATACGGAAGAGACATGGTCCAGCCCCGAGTTTGAAGGAAGAGACAAAGCAAAACGGCAGAAGTCACCCCATTTATAAGTTCTCCAGGTCCAGGGGAAGGGAGAAGACTAAGGCATATGGACCACAAGCTCCCAGCCCCGCCTTGCCCTTAAGCACTGCACTCAGTTACTTGAAGTGTATGTTATATATCAGCCTTTTCCACTGGACCCTTGAGAGCCTGGCCCAGAGCTGGCATCTCTCAGTGCTGGTTACACTGAAAAACGACATGTTTATTTATTGAGTATTTACAAGGAGCCAAGGGTGATGCTAAGGGCCTTCTGTGCATTAGCTCATTTAGATCCTCACAATGACCATGAAAGAGGGCACCCATTTTACAGAGAGGGAAAATGACATTAGAGAAGATAAGAGCTGGGTGTCTGGCACATAGCTGGTGCTCTTGACTTTTGCTCTGAAAGGCTGAACAAACTGATGGATGAATTAAGAAGGGGGAGGTGGAAGCAAGGAGGTCAAGGTCACAAGTGTTCACCTCTCCCCTCATCCATCTTTATTAGCTGCCACAACTGTGTCCACCACACCTTGTGCCTGGTCCCCCATCACCTGATGGACACAGTCCTAGGGAGCTGGCAGTTCTGCAGGGCCCGCTGAGATCCTCTGAGCCGAATAAAGGAGCAATCTCTCCTGCCAAGCATCTGGCCAGTGTGCCTCTGCCTGAGAACCTGACCTGGAAATTCCATGATGAGGGCCCATCTCCAAATCTCTGACAACCAACAAAGAGTATAGGAAAACGTCGCCCAGCTGCTCTTTCAGAGGTCCCAGGGAACTAAGGGGAAATTCATTCTTTATTGTAGCAGGAGTAATTTCAGCTAGATTGCAGAAGGGACTTACCGACAGAGAGGGGGAGCAGATCTGGGATTCCTTACTAGAGTTAGAAAATGACACAGTGGTCCCTGTGGGTGGCTCCACAGGCTGAGCTGTGAACAAGGCAGACACAGTCTCTCCCGTCTTGGAACTTAGAAGGGGGAGGAGACAATCAACGCATATGTAATATCGAGGCTGATATATACTTTGAAGAAAGGTAAAGCAGGGAAGGGGACAGTGTATGGTGGCATTTGCGAGTCAGGGCTGCTTTTGATTTTATTTTTTATTTTTTTAGGTGAGAGAAGGCCTCTGCAGAGGCGACTTAAAGCAGAGATCTGAATGAAGTGAGGGAACAGCCAGTGCAAAGGCCCTGAGGTGGGAGTGTGCCTGGCAGGCTCTGGGAACAGCAGGCCGCCTGTCTGAGTGAATGAGGGGCACGAACCAGGGCTGAACGGGGAGAGATGCTTGCACTCTGGTGTGCACTGGTCAGCCATAGCATGATATGTGACTTTGTTATAAATGTGATAGGAAACCATTGGAGGGTTTTCAAGCAGGAGAGTAATGTGATTTGTGTTAAAAATAATTTTTAATGCTTTATTTTTGAGAGACAGAGAGAGAGACAGAGTGAGAGTGGGAGAGGGGCAGAGAGAGGGAGACACAGAATCTGAAATGGGCTGTAGGCTCTGAGCTGTCAGCAGAGAGCCAGACGTGGGGCTTGAGCTCTTGAACCGCAAGATTATGACCTGAGCCAAAGTCAGATGTTTAAACTGACTGAGCCACCCAGGTGCCCCTAAAATAATCTTTTAAAAGATTTTATTTTTAAGAAATGTCTACACCCAGCATGGGGCTCAAACTCACAACCCCAAGATCAAGAGTTGCACACCCCACTGACTGAGCCAACCAGATGCCCCCAAAATAATTTTTGATTTAATTTTTTAAAGTAAGGTGTAGGCCCAACATGGGGCTTGCACTCGCAATCAAGAGTCACATGTTCTACTGACTGAGCCAGCCAGGCGCTCCTTAATTTATTTTTTAAACAGATAATACATTCATATGGTTCAAAGAGTAAAATATATTATGAGGCGCCTGGGTGGCTCAGTCGGTTGAGCACCTGACTCTTGATTTCTTTGGCTCAGGACATGGTCTTGGGGGCGTGGGATTGAGCTCCGCGTCAGGCTCTGCACTGAGCGTGGAGCCTGCTTGAGAGTCTCCCTCTCTCTCCCTCTACCCTCTCTCTTTCCCCTTACTCTCTGTCTCTCCCTAAAAAAATTAAAAAGCCCCCAAAATGCAAGGTATTGTTCCCCTTCATGCCTTTATTCCCTTCCTTCCACCAACCACACGTGTTAGTTTCTTGATCGTCCAAGACTTCTTTACACAAACACAAGCATATATGTAATTAACATTTATGTGTTAACATTTATATGTGTCAGACCTTATTCTTATCTTTATTCTTTTTAATGTTTTATTTATTTTTGAGAGCAAGAGAGAGCATGAGCAGGGGAGGGGCAGAGAGAAATGGGGAGACACAGAATCCAAAACAGGCTCCAGGCTCTGAGCTGTCAGCACAGAGCCCAACGTGGGGCTTGAACTCACAGACCGTGAGCTCGTGACCTGAGCCGAAGTCGGACGCTTAACCGACTGGGCCACCCAGGTGCCCCTGACCTTATTCTTATCTTTAAAAGATTTAATCTCATTTAATCTTTATGACTCAACCCTATGACCTAAGTACTGTTAGCCCTACTTTACAGATGAGGAAACTAGGGCACAGAGAGGCTAAATTATTGCCCCAAATTGCACAGCTTTTAAGTAACCATATTAGTTCTCTAGGGCTGCTATAACCATAACAAATTACCATGAACTGGATGGCT